TCAGTTTCTAGAAGGAACACATATTGCGTATTAACCTTAACTTGAGCTTATAGAAGTGCTTATCCACATGATTATTCACATACATCGTAAACAAAAGTCTGACAAAAAGGTATCTTCTTATGTTTCCATGGTACATTATTCTTTATATTAATTGCATTATGACTATGTCTATTGTTAGCAAAATGTGAACAGAAATTGCTGAACATCTTTAAGAATTTTCTCCCCATACCTATGCAGAATTTACGGACCTTGTCATTCACAGCCCTTGATCTCACAGACTGGGATACATCACTATCGGGCTGCAAGCTCTATGTTTTCATGTGGGTGGAGATACTACTCCAGAGGTTGCTTAACTCTGGGGTTATGAATGGCATATAATTATGTTCACTTGGGATGGCTGCCGCTGTTGCAGGACCAGCACTAACAGCAACTGAAGGACATTAATAACATGTACTTAAGTGCCAAAAGAACACAGATGAGACACAATTCTCCTCACCTGTGGCAAAATAAGGAAATTCCACAATCATCAAGCTAGCAGAGTACTTGTCTGAGATCAGCCAATAGAGGAAGAAGGCCTGTTTGAAACTGAAGTAGTGCACATGGCAGAGAGAAACACTAGAAACAACTTGTGAAGTCTAAAGGGAAAAAAAGCCAATCTACATTTGCAGTCTAGATTATAACTCTACAAACAATAATTTGATTTCAATAGGCACTTGTTACTATCCATTTGGTTAAGAATCAGGAAATTTGCCCTAGGACAGCAACTATTGACCTCTCAGGCTACCACAAGGTTATAATTCCTGTCCACTACACAGTACACAGGCTCTCCAAAGAATAATGCACAAATTGTAAGATTCAGGCCTTTTCCTCACAGTATTTAAGTGTTTAGGACATCCAAGAAATGGTCTCATATTCCAGAACTGTAACCCTAGTCTTTAGGCACTACACAACAGATCATAACCAGGACAAAACTAATTCACATCAGAGGCTGAGCTTCCTCAGAGTCTAAATCAAGTAGGACGAACTAAGACCTGTTTACTTTTGAAGGTTAAATCCAGTTGACCTAGGATCTGAATTGGTATCAAAATCCCCAAAGTTCATTCCACCTCACTTTGGGCCACTATTTACCAATATTTGCACTATTTACCCAGGCTCCCTATATAGACAGTAGCAAGAGATTATCTTCAGAGAGCGATGCAGGTTGCAGGAGAGCTGGGTCAACTTCATGAGATGCCAGAGACCACTCTCTTTAAAGCAGCACATGCCACCTTGATAATCGCCTTGCTGAGCTGGCCTGCCCCTCAGTGGCTTTTAGTAAGTGGGGTGAAAGGGTGTGCATAAGTATGACCTCAGTTCATATGCTAAGACAAGTGGCATGAGGCATGACAAAATTACTGCAGCTCCACAGAACCATGAATCTATCCCAATTTTCTTAGCAGCTGTAGGAGCTTCCTGTAGGAGCTGTTAAACTAGCTGGAGCTGCAAGTTTCTAGATAATCATGGCCATGTGATTCTCTATTAGCATGGGGAATTGTACATTGGTGTTCTCCCTGCAGTAAACTTCAGGTATCCCTCTAAGAAAATGCTGTGTGTTATTCTGCGGTTCTACAACTACTGCCCATCTTCCTGGGTGTGAAGCACAATCCTCTCTTAACAGCCCAGGGATGAAACTACATAGGTACATATATCCTTTGGAGAAACTGGCTGCTACAGATACAAAGATTTCCAGTGATGCAAAAGCCAAGTATATTTTTGACTACACTCATTACCTACCAGTCAGCATGAAGCAAGTAAAATGGACTCTTCCATTTGAAGTAAACCACTCACATAGAAAAGACTGTCCAAACATGAAATTATCCTTGATTCTTTTTTTTTTTTTTTTTAAGTCACTCCATGGGATATATAAACTTCCAAGATCTTCGGAAATTGTGCCCCTCCCCTGAAAGTTATTTTCCATCTTGTCCACCAAACATATAGAGCAAAGCACAGTCAAAACAAAAATCATAAAGTCATCTATGCACATAAAAGTCTTCTTCCTGACAGAAGAGAACAGAATAGAGAACAAACGTACTATGTGTGATTAGTCAACCACACCAAGTCACCTCTAAAAGATGCTGAGATACTATGGTTATGGGAATAGTACAAAAATTTTTATTGACTAGGGTTTCTACAGATTACTAGAATCTTTAAGGACCATGTTAAGTATGACAAGAGCGTAAGAGGGGATAATATAAGGAGAAAGAGGTGGCTCATCAAAGGGGACATTGGTAAATGCTTGCCCCTTCATGATTCCTGGCCTCTTAGAGCTTCCTGCTGCTAACTACTGTTCTCTTCTTAGAAGCAACCCCTTCTCATGCCAACTGTTTCTCTTTCTGTTTGCTCTTCTACATCTGTGGAAGGAAGAAGGAAAAAAGTGGGCTTGCTGGGGACAACGTGCTGTCCATACATTGTTTTCAGGGAGAGACGGAGGATCAGGAACTGTTGGGACAAAAATACCTACGGCAATTCTTTTCAGAGCTGCTCCTCCTGCCGTGGTAACCATCCAAGTGTAGCTCTTGCCTCTCTGTCTTCCAAGCTGGCTCCTTGTGAGTGACTTTACTTCTTTAGTAAGATGTGCTACAATATTCTACTCCCCAATCCTCATTAATCTTACACATTGCCCTAGTACAACAGAGAGAGAGTAAGCTGTTGTTGAGATAACTGGCTTCCATTAGCAACCATGTGATTGGCAGGACGATAAAGTCTTTTTCCTTGCAGGTCAGCTGCTTTTTAAGAAGAGGGCAATCCTGCTGATCCATCTTTTAGCTACAGTCTCTCACTGAGTCCCAAATCTCCTGCCTTTTAGCTTTGATACGGTTCAAGCTTTCCCCCTTGTATCAGCCCCTACCTGTCATCAGCTCCTCTGCACCAAACAGCCAATATCAGGAGTTTGACCTCAGGGCACAGTCCGGGTGGGCAGGTAAAACCTGACCACTGGACCTACTTCCTTATCTTTCATATCCTGCAATTCATGAAGAAGTATCAAATTCAAACCAAAAAACAGAAGCATGACCTTTTATAAGAACTTTCTGAAAAAGGCTCTGTTGCCTTTCTAAGTATTCATGAAAAGAACTGTCATCCACCCTATTGAGATAGAAACAGATCACAAATAAGTAAGAGAGGGAAAACACTGTAAATCCTTACTAAATGGTAAATGTTTTTAATGTGTGCTTGCAGTACCTTTTGGTGATGCGCCAAAAATATAGTAACCAAATCAAAACAAAAGAAATATACTAGAACTATTCTACATCTACAAGCTACAATTGCAACCTAATAAAGATAACTGCCCAGACTTTTTCTGTTTATGAAGTACCTGAAATGGATGAGATTCCCATGGCATACAGAGCATCCTCTATAAAGTGTTATTTGCATCAAGAAAATTCTAAATATAAGTTGCTAATATAAACTGAGAGCTATCATAAGAAACATAATCCCTATTTATGTGACATGCTCAACAGTTGGTACTTAAAACATACAAAAATATTATTTATTTCCTGTAGCAAGTATGTACACACCCTGCCCTCCTGCATAGCTGGAAATCACGTTTTCCCTTGAAACAAATACAGGTTCTGCAAGGATTTATAGCACTTAGGTGGATGACAGAAATGGTGCCAAAATCTCTCAACATCCTTTCCCTTCAACTCAACTGACTGAGTACAAATTGGAAGATGTTTAGTCGCTCCTTACATGGATAATAAAAGCAGAATAAAAAAGAATTCAAAAGCAGAAGGCTGCTAGTCAAGGCAAGACTTGTGGTATTTGAAGTCTGGCAGAGTACATCTTTACATACTGAATTCTGGAACTCCTAATGTACACGTATCACATGAACACATCTTATGTCCACGATCCTATATCCTCCTCACATAGTCTGCACTTATCCCATTGTAGATATTGTTCCTTATTATCTTACTGCGAGAATGTAACAGACAACTGCACGTTTTAACTTTTTCATCTAAAAATACACTTTAATGAAGTCCTTTCTAACTACTAGGAAAACCTGGAATACTTTTGCCTCAGGAATTTTCCCTCTGAAGTGCCTTTTCATTATCTTGCTGTGAAAAACCTACTAAACTATTAAAAGCAAAAATATTCTTACTATATAGATAATTTGGAATTCTTTCTACATTTCTCCTCTTTTCTGATGATTTTGACAGACTCATAATGGTGCTGAAAAATATCACCATCTGCAGAAAGCTAAAGATCCTCTATGTGCAGTTAATGATTCATTTCACTATTTAAATGACACTTAAACTCACAATTTTGTGAAATAATAAATCCTTTCTAAAAGCTTACTTCAAGTATGAAAAGTTTTTGAAAATGAATTGCTATGGGTGGATACAGTGTCAGAATTTATGAAGAGCAGGGAATAGAAATAACTACGTGAAATTAAGGTAAGTAGATTTTAGTCTGGAAAAAGCTTCCTTTTGGCAAGAACTGTGGAAAAGTGCTTCCAGTATTAAGGCATTTAAAATTTAATTTGATATACAATAAAGATCAGCCAGTTGGAATAAAGCTGCTTTCTAGCAGTTTAAAAGAATTCTACATAACAAATTAAGGAAAGGAAATGCTAAATAATACCGTGCCTGATTCTGTTCTCCAGGGAGTAGTTTTGTAGACAGAAGCAATTGCTCAAAATGGAATCAGGCCAGTACACACCAGGGTAACATGTACACTCTTGCAAAAAGGCATCACAGGATCTTTACAAAATTGTCAGGACCAAAATTCAACCTTACATCCATGTAGCTGTACCACCAGTAGCACAGTGCCCCCTAACAACACACTGGAGAAACAGTTTTATGCTAAATTACAGGGAATAGTGCCACCAATAACACTTCAAATAACTGCTTTTCAAAACTAATTACATGGGAATGCAAAAACATGAAAGGTTCTTGAATTTAATAACTTCAGCATTGGTCAAAAGGGGAAATTAGTAGGATAAAAAACAACAACTAGTGTCTTACTTGTCTGAGGTCGATGAAAGCTAACTGCAGGGTGTCTCCCTGGAATCCTGGCACAGGCTCAGAACTAGCAAACACTGCAAAGAAAGGTTAAAAATATTACGGATGTAGATTTTTTTTTAAAAATCTAACAGAAAATCAAGCTCCATGCAATATAAATGCAGCTAACATCCCAGTGGTAATGCTACAACCACAGAAGCCAACATCTTTTTTTGGCCTGAGGTGAATGATTACTGAAGAATTTTGAAATAATACCAATTCCATGGCTGTCACCATATTCAAACATCTGCTTTTGTTACAGCATCCACCCTATAAAAACCCAACCTCTAGCCAAACAGCAATAAAAGACAAACACTAAGGTGGGAATTAGCTTAATATGTAGATGACAGGTAGAAAGCTCTACGTGGCACAGTCAGAGCAGAGCTGAAATGCCTGTTCATGCCTTTTAACCAGCTTATTGATAATGAACTTCTGCTCTTTCTGAACCCAAAAACATGCTGTCAGAATTGGAAGGCAATGCTATGTTCAAAACACAAAAAATAGTAACACTTATGGTAATGAAAAAAAGCCAGCTATTTGTTTGAATTAGGAAATGATCAATAATTGTCAAACTTAAAAATAAACGTACTTTTTTTTGTTCTCATCCCAGTCACACATTAATAACGGACACTTGCAGAAACACCCACTGCCTCACATCCCCATTCAACTTAGACATCTTACTTTAAAAGAGTTTAAGTGAATTTTTCTTATCTTCTTCAGTTAGAGCTCTTAACAAAACAAAGTAGGTATTACTGTAATAGTTTTAGAGAGTACCATCTGAGGCAGTGAAAGGTAACATTTTTTTCCAAGTTTGAGAAACAGGTCATTCAAAGGTAGAGGAAACAAAACATATGTATCAAAAAACCTTCCATATCCAGTGCTCGACTCTACTGTGCCACACGGACTCCTACCAACATTTAAAAGTAATATGAAATCTTCAATAGAATTTTTTTTCCTAATGGCTAGTTAGAAAATTTGGATCATCAAGTGAAAGTAACATCCTGAAAGACATTGGTGTCTGAGCTAACATGATGTTAAAACAAGGGGATCAATTATTTACTTCTGAATGTATGGTTTCAACTTAAAGCAGACTAATGAATTCGGATAGACTATACAAAAGTCTAAAAATGATTATATGGAATGCCATCGTAAATGAAAATAACAGATTCTTACTTAAGCGATACACAAAGCTACTAAGACCATCTCAGAATATCTAGTAACAGACAAATATAGTAGCAGAGTAGCAGCTTTACCAGTAGACACAAAATTTATTACTTGTACTACAGTAGTGCAAAAATTTTTATGGACAGTCATGTAATAGGAGAATGAATTAAACTGGAATATTTCTTGATTCTTCATCAACTAAAGGAACGAAAAATAGCAATCAAATGCCGTAGGAAGAACACTGTAATGTCACAGACAAGTACTGGCAAACGCTCACTAATTACTGTATTCAAGTCTGAATTTTAGATTGTCTGGTTTTCCTACTTTGTAAGTAACACCAACTTTCTATGGGAGTTTTCAGTGAGTTTCAACCTATCACAAAGATGCTTTTTAGATAAAAATGAAGAAAGATAAAAAACAGTGGAAAAAGCATATCCTAAACCCAGCATTTTATAGAGAGAGTTTGCTTAATAATCCCTTTAAAAGCAGCAAAGAGAAAACAGTCTGTAGAACCACCAACCTGCAGAAGAACAAAAGATCTCCAGGCCTAGGAAAGCATCCTTCGAAACACCTTACGCTAAAGGGTTGGGTGTCTCCATGGCTTTCTTCCGCAGGTATTTCATGGCCACTGGGATCACCCTTTCTTCGGAGACAGACAGGCCAATGATGCTGGCCTCTGTGGCCAGCCAAACATAGAGTTTAAAATGGGAACACCATACTATAGTAGGGAATTCTTAGCAACGCCCCATGGCAAACAGCTAAGAAGAGATACATGGGTTGTGAGCTACGGCAGCACACTAATAAGGAACATAAGCATGACGCTCAGAAGGAGTCTTTTCTACATCCCCTAAACAAGGAAGGAGAACTTGTGCTATCCTTGAAAGATAAGGCCCATCTGTATCTGATCCCGTATAACTTTCCGTTCACAGACAGTACACCGAGACCAGCTTCTCCCACTACAATCTAACCCACAATGGTAGCACTGGGAGAAGGAAGCTCTATGGTAAAGGAATGGCTACAGAACGGAAAAGTGAATATAACTGGAAAGTGCGACCTGCAGCAAAACTTCTCAGTTAGCTATTGGCGCTTCATACTTTGGGAGGTACCTTCCTATAGTGCGACACTTCGACTTGCCGCAGGGCCAATATTTGCATCCTTTGTGCAGCTCATCAGGCTAACATGGTTCGGAATTTATCCTAACGCATTAAATAATGCAGTATGATCTAGTTTCTCTACAGATTACTTCCTACCGTTGCAGCAATAGAACAAGAAGCACCCAAGGTACCAATCTTAATTATTGTATATACTTTGTTCTCTTTAACTGCAATTTTATATCATGAATGCATTTACAACACCAAGGACACTCATTACAGCACAAGTATTTATTCTCACATTTGGGTCATTTCTGACAGATGACTATGGTAGAATTTGTTTCATTATTACAATTTCATGAGTTCAAAGGGCAAAAAGATAATCTACTTATGGTAACGGTCAGGCAGTTCCTCCCCCAGCCCTCAGCTCAGGCTTTTAAGTTTTGCTAACAATTTTATAAAGCTAATTAAATATTTTCTACTGCACAGTGTTTTAGGAAGATATTATAAGAACAGGATTAACATTCTTAATGTCTTTGTCCTAAGGGTCCTTTTCCAGATGGTAACGAAACATTGTCATATACACATCTTTTAAAATAATTCACCCCCTACATTCATTTTATGCTTAAAGAGGATTTGGAGGGATAGGGGGCTGGTTCGTTGGTTATTTTAGTGTGCATAAAAGCATTCAGGAATTTTATAAAATATGAGAATGAAATGCAAAGATCACCATTAAACTGTCACATATAGGGGCAAGCAGCTGGCTGCTTGGCAGTTTGAATCAGAAACCTCAATGTTTTCAGGAAAATAAGCTGAAAATATGCATTACGTGAATCTAGTATTCACAAGGTTTTTGCTAAAGTCTTCTTTCCCTGCACTTTGCTGATACTGTGTAGACCCCTTGCTGTGTAAATAGAAGAGGATCTCTGGCACTATGTTTGTCCACGGTATGTACAATCTCAACGTACTTCCTACAACACCCAGTTTGCACGTTTACAGGAGGTAGGATCTAATGAAAAAGTATGTAATAATACAAAAACAGGCTGGGAGGTAACACATACATGAGAATGGTAAATTTACATATTGTAAAGATGACTTTAGTCCATTTTCTTTTGAATACTTTGCTTTGGCCTTTTCATGACATTTTGTCATGAATATGGATGTCATGAATTCACACAGGATATATGTGAATTGATATGTATACATGTTAACAGATATCTTAAGAAAAAGGCTGTTTGCTAAAAGGGAATTTAAGACATCTTTAACTGTAAGTTGTACAGAATTTCTATGCACTTCTAGATTTATTAACAGGTCTCTTCATTTTATTCTCTCAAAACCTCATCTTTTAACCATCATCTGATTGTGCCTCTCTGTTGGTCTGCGAATTCAGTACTTAATTCCTGACAAACACTTTTGCTGCTCAATGGAAGAAATTAAAACTCAGAGTCTAGACTTTGGATCAAAAGCTAAATTAGGACAGTTTTATTACAGCCTCGTAGCATCAATTCCAATGCCAGACAGCAAAGCTACAAATGTATTTTTAAAGGAAGAGCAGAGAATCAGGTGACTATCACAGCAGCCGTCAGCCACTTTGCAGCCCTGTTGGGTGCTCCAGCTGTTTAAACACGCCTGGGGGGAGCCTCCCCGAGGGAGCTGCCAGCTGGCTAGGAAGCAGCCCCCAGCACTGGCCAGATCTTGCTGCTTCCCCTCACTCGGGCACTGCCATATGTGACTGTCAGATGAAGGATAGTCTCAAGCGAGCGAAGTTAACCTGGCTTAGATGGGAGAGCAGGCAGCTAAAGCGAAGGAGAATATTGTGCCTTTTCAAGGAAAATGCAGGATTTGGGTTCCTCAGCTTCTGGCATGCTCACCTGGAGATCACCTTCATGTATGCTCAACAGAGAGCACTTGGGTCAAGATCTTTCTTGCTCTTGGATACTGCAGCTGTCCACACAGTGGGTGAAAAAGGGGGACTGGCAGGAACCCTAGGCAGGGCCGGTTAGGAAGGTGTATTGCCTCCTGCTTTGTGCTAATTCTCTGCTAACCCATGCTCATTTATAGGCAGGACCCAAAACCTTTTCATCCTTGCATGGATTCATGTCTGAGTGAAGACGGACACCTACTCAATCATGTCTCCTTCTGCCAATTAATTCTGTCTCAAAATTCAGCTATGTTAAAACATGTAAATTATAAAAATTATTGATAATTCTTCCAGCAATTAGAATTTATGAAAAGTTATAATTCCTTAATAAAATGCTGATGTAAGGTATTCAGATCTGAATGGAATCTCTGAATAGTTCATTTTCTATTATGTACACCCTGCTTCTTATAAAGTGAGATAGAGCAACCCACGTTTGAATTTCTTCAAGAAACGGCAAATGCCTCCCCTCCCCAATCCATTTCCCTCCTCAGGACACTGAAATGCAATGTGCAAGCAAAAGACTCTTTGCGTTCTATTCAAGGGGACCAAGTATGTTCTATTTTTCTGCAGACTGTTGTAAAATTCTCAATCATCCTAGTGGAAGATCACCACTGAGAAAGAATGTGTAAGATACAGAGACAAAACACTGCTCTAAGTTGTAAAATATGTAGAGAGAGTGGAGAATACTTCAATTAAAATAAGACACACTGAAATCAAACTGAAAGCTTTTGGAATGTTTGGAAGGAATACCAAAAACTTATTAGAAGCAGAGCAAGAAGATCATAACTTTTTTTTCTTTTTATAAATCATCAGAGAAGACCACTTGATACTATTACTATTCTTGAGCAGAAGTATCAGATGCTTCCACATTTTCTGCTCTGCTTCTTAAAGTAAGGCACTTCACTGAGAAATGCAGTGCAGCATAATGAAATCCCAGAGTTCATCACAAGATCACTTCCCTCCCCTTACACCTTTCTTTCTTGGAAGTCCACTTATCATTGTACCTATTTGCTATGATTAAGAACTGTACTGACTTTAACAGATCGCTGTTCATTAACAGGTTGTTGGGTTGTTTGTTGGACTGTTGATTGCTTTTTAATGGAAAAAAAAATGTGTGACAAGTAATCACGTTTTCCTGCTTTTATTTAGATCTCTTCCTGTTCATATTAGAAACAATAAAAATGCAATGTTAAAGATCAGAATAAATGTCTAGAATATTGCCAATAATTTTTAAAAATGTATCTTCAGATATTCATAACTTTCTACATCTCACATAACTTCTCAGTTCAAAATGTGTTTGAGTATACTCCACTGTGCCACAGTGAAATGTCAAACCCATGTATACAATACAGTAGGAAACTGCCTACTGTAGTAGGTAGCCATGAATTATTTGCACACTCTAAACACTAATTGAAATGTCACTGTCGCATCCATTAATCCGAAAGTGTCAAAGAATAAAGCTGGAGGAGGGTGACAAGTAAGAAGACCTAAAACCTATTCATGCCACAATGATGTTATGGAAGTAATTTCCTTCCTACAGTTGAAAGGCTCATCCTCAGCGGTGAGCTCCATGCAAAACACCAGGAACTTAATCCTGTCTTCAGTGCTGGATTGAACCAGTATTATAAAATAATTCTGATGCTATATTTTGAACAGTAAGAATAAAACAACATCTGATGTTTATTAAATGAGTAATACTATTCTGCAAGTCAGTAGTAATTCTAGGAGGGAGGAAATGTCATGTAACAGTGCATTCAAAATTTGTTTATAATAAATAAACAAACTCAAGAGGAAAATTAAAATTTCACAGACATTTCACCACTTTTTACCCCTCGCAACTATAAAAGCATAATATTTATGTACTGGTTTGGGGCAATTTTGTACTAGACTATAGTCTTGTTACTGGATATAGCGATTATGATCCCATTAGGAGTAACAATAGATGTATGTTTTGACTGGATGACTTAAAAAAAATTCATTAAAAAAAATCCCAGAAATGTTAACATACTTACTCATAAATACGTACATAAATACATAAATACTGTACTTTTTTTTTTAAAAAAAGACAAAGCTTTAGTAGATTATGGAAGAAAGATCACTATATGGCTTACATTAGAAAACTTTTTTGCAGTGTTTAGATATAGATAGGAATACTGGAACATCTACTTACATTCACACTGTATCACATCTAAATTAAACTGCTGAATTGCTCCCATGCTTATTTGTTTTAATTCACTGTCCAGTAGCATCTGCATCAGGGACGTTGAAAGATGCTGGCAAGCTGACATGCAAGCTGTCTGGGCCACTTTTCCCTAGTAGAAAGAGCAACAGGTTTTAAGATAGAAACGAACAATATATTACTAAAGAACTGCTTATCTGATTTGATTTTAATATATACTCAAAGTCTTAACAATGCAGGATTTAGATTAGAAGGGGAAAGATCACACTTGCTGTTATTTATTTGAGCTGTTAGCTTTGTTTCTATCAAACCAATCAGAGAACTAAATTAAATATATGTTAACACAATTATTGGCATTTCTTCCAGAAAGCCAACAGTCTTCATGAATACAAGGACATTTCCCAAATAATAACAATATAAGCTGCTGCTGAAGCATATGAACAGCTTTGTGGATTTTTTTTTTTTTTTTTTTTACCCGAACAGAATGAAAGTAAGAATGTAAAGAAAATCAACATGCTGCATACTTTTAACAATAGCCAGTAAAAAACCCCAAAACTTTTATATAAAACAAAACCACTGCTTTTGGTTGGGGCATTTCTGAGAACAGCTTGTGCTAATTACCGGCACTTTAATTACTTGAATTCCATCTCAAAGCTTGTTGCTAAATTATTGAAAATATTCATGCTTATCCATCATCTTTTCAGGTGCTTAATAAATCAGTGCTGTCAGACATACACTACTTACAAAATGAAACGTAGCCCTCTGCTGTACAAAATGGAAATAATTTTCCAATCACAGTCTAGTTGTAACATTTCTCTGTATGGTGTGTATGCATTTGAGACAAATAATTTTCCAAACATGAGACCAAAAAACAAAGCACAAAACCAGACATTAATTTTTTAAATTATTAAAAATTTAGTACAGAAAAATTTAAAGATATGGAAATTCTACCTTAGAATTAAGAACACCAATTAAGACCAGATACCTGATCAGATGGCACCATTCTGTTCATAGCACTGTGATCTTTTAAAGCAGATTGATCTTGGCTTTCAAATGCAATTATATGAATCTCTGTAGTTTGATGTACTTAAACCATGCTTTTCAACTGACCTCTATGTTTCAATACGTAGTAAAACAAAAGTAACTATTAACACGCTTACATAAAGAAATCATAATCACAGAATGCATCTACTGGAGCACAGACCACTATCATTTTTACTTATATCCATCAGTAAAGTGATGAAACCTATTCTCTAAAGCAATGGTTCCTCAGCTGTTTTCTGCGAAGTCAGGTGGATCAATTCACTGTTGACTCACCGAAAAACATAAAAGCACTGAAAAAAGGTAAGGATAGACAGCAGTTTACTGTTCCAAAACGTTTGGAAAGTTCTGCTCCAACATCTGAAGAGCCAGATCTTGTTCTTTACAAGGCAACTTGTTCATATCATTGAGTTTTCATATACATATAACAGAAAGCAAATTTGGCCCTCAATATTTCATACATTAAAAAATCCATTCATTGTTAAAACGTAATTAAAATGTAGACAATACAATGGAAAGCATTCACTCTCCTCACATGTCACACCGAAACATTAAATAGCTTTTGCTAATACCTCCTTAGCATTAGGACACCTTGAACTGTTAGAAGCTTTATATCTAAAATGAGATGTCAGTTTCTTAATTGAAAATCTCGGAAAAGCAAATAACATTCTTGACCAAAACAGATGAACTGACAACAAGGAATGTAAGAAACAATGCAAGAACAGCATGCTTAAAAGTCTCCCAAACCCAACAGTAATTACACTGGGAGACATGCAGCTCTATTCTCCAGGCAGAACAATATCAATATGAATGGAAAAAAAAGGAGAGAGTTAAAAAAGGGGAAAAAAGAAGGAAAAGAGGTGAGAAGGGGGATCAATGGGCCACAGTTAATTTAATTATAGTGCAGTAGATTTTAGATACTTGATGGAAATGTCATTTTGATTTAATGGAACAACTAGTGCATATCTGTTTAATGTACTGCTCCATCAAATCAGCTCCATGTCCTATTTATGCTGCCACTATAACATAAGTTCAACCAGATTAATAGGTTGTCAAGAAAAATTTTAACATTCAATTTATTTTATCTGCAAACTATGTGTACTCCTCTGTTCTTTTAAATAAAAGACAGAATTTTATATTTCTGGCAAGTATCTGTAGTTGATTGTTACAATCTGGCAAATATCAATAGTACTGGAGCACAAGATAATGGTTACAATACAGAAATGACACGGTGAAAGCCGCTTGGACTTATAAATAAGTATCAATACATGTATGTTCAATGCTTAATTTAAAATTCCATAAAATGGAAATATCCTAACATTTAAACTATTTACAACTATGTAACTTGAACTACAGGCTTATTGTTCCCATGACATATCAACAAATAATAGAAGTTTACTATATACACTTCATGCTTACTCAATACACTCCCTGGATTTTCTTATCTAGAGAAAAAATGAAGCTATGTATATCAATCAAAATGCTGAATTTTAACTGCGAGAAATGCGAACTTTACTGTTATCCTCTTCAAAATTCAGTGCTTCCCAGTTCTAAACGTTGGATGTACTATATTCAGAAAAAGAACAAAATTCAAATTTGCGTTTGACAAATGAGATCTAGTTAAAAATCTCCCTCCAAATTTCCACCATCCACCAATTATTCAATTCCTTGACATTTTTTCATAATGTATTTTGAAGAGGAAATTTAAGGATTCGTGAACATATCAAGATCATGTTTCTTTTCTGGAAATTAACAAATCTCAGTCAGTTTGAAAACATTCTTCATGTCTATTATTTGTCAGTTTGGGCTTTTTTAATTACTACTATTTTTTTTTAAGAAGGTGGTGGCCTTAGTTACTGTATCTAGCAATTAAATACCCATATTCAATAGCATGCAGAAATCCAGCAGGCTTCTCACGTTTGCTCCAGTTGCCTCCCATTTGGAGACACCACTATTATCTCCGCTATATCTATGCTAATTGCTGCTATCTACAAAACCTATTCTTCCATTCAACCAATGTAAAGTTTAAAAAACAAGGACTCTATTCTATAAGCAAAAACACCTGCTAACAGTGTTAAAGGCAACTGTTTTTTTCACAGCCTCCACATTTTGCTGAAATACAAGATTGTAAAAAGAGAAAACCCTTAGACAAACTTCTTATATTTCAAAGAAGCTTGTAAAGAGAATCTGCTGACTTATTAAATCCTTTTTTATAGAACCCAAAAGCTTTTCTCCTAAGAACAATTGCAGCAAAGAGGCATTTGGCTCCTAGGAAATTCCCAAAGGGTCAACCATATGCATCCTTCCACAGCACCTTCCCAGTACTGCTGTCTAAGACCCATGCTAGCTGTCTCAAAAGCAGCTTTCATCATTCACTATGGTGTCAGTCAATATGATTTATGGACTGCATTCAGCAAAGTCAAAGCATATAGAATGAGAAATATGACTACAATCTGCTAATTTGTTTTGTATTGAGCCACTTAGGAGTCAAAGACCTGATGTCAGGCTGAGACCAGCAACACAATTAACCGGCCAGTGACAGATTCATCCATCCTCCCTGCCAGGCTGTGCCAATCAAAGACAGCATGAAGCAGCATTTGGAGAAATCAGTAAGAAAACCCATTCTCTAAGTCGCCTGTGGAGGCTGTTGATAGACAGTTTTTGAATATAGCTGCAGAAAATCACCACCCCTTCACCCTCACTGCAAGCTGTGAAATTAGGCTTTTGCTGCCAATCACAGAAACAATAAAAAACCACAAACTGCCATCCTCAGCATAAAAGGAAATAACAAAACTTATCTGTCACGTTTAAGAAGTTAAGCTGAAGAATTAATTTAACAATATGAAACGACATAATGAAAAACTTTCCGAAAATGCAAAGAAACTAAACATACAGATTTTATCAGTCATAATAACTGAAGCATGGTATTACTTAATATCAGGACTAAAATCTAACTTTTGAACTACTGACAAAACCCAAGTATATTAAAAAATACTAACAGAACTTTTAAGACTCACTTTATTTCCAGTCTCTACATCAAATTCTACTGAAAATATTAAAAAATTCCTACTTGAAAGTAATTTGTAACTTACTTTTCAATAGTCATTATTTTCCAAAGAGTTGTCCAATACTAACTTTATACTGGCCAAACACATATCTAGACTAAAACTTCAACTAATTCTAAACTTAGATTAAAAATATTTATGTATGTTCTCCCTATAATTAACTGATCTGAAAATAAAAGGTACGATTTTTCTTTAACTGTTCAAAAGAAAAACTAAAAAATGCAAGTCCTTAACAACAAATTTGATCACCCAATTGATTTCATGAGATTAATGGCTGTATAATGAAATTTTAATTTGCTTTTTGATTCAAAGTATCTAGTGGCACTAGAAATTGCAATACGAACTTAAAATGGGATGTAAAAGAACCTGAAAACAGCGATAATCTCAGAAGATGCAAGTCTTGTGACTTTAGAATACAGAACTGTTAAAAGCTGCATGTCTCACAAATTATAACCTTCCAAAAGCAAATGTAGCCTCTGTTCTCTGCATCTCGGAAATTCTGGTGGTGCTTGGTCATGACATAACCAGCACGCTGACACCTATTCAACATTAACAGGAAATACTGCTACACAAAATATTCAATATTCCTAGTGCTCATGACACTTACTAGCTTGATAGTTCAACATAAGGCTTAGTATTCAAATCATAGAAATATGACCATTGGAACGAACAAGCAATGAACCTACTTGGAGTAGGACTATTGTCAACACTAGTTCAAATCTGTTGTCCTTTTTTCTGGCCAAGCCTTCAAAACAACTGAGGATGGGAACTCCACAGCCTCTCTGGATAACCTCCTCTAACACCACACTGCTCTCTTCATGCAAACTTCTTCCTTAATGTCAAAGCTTCATCTCCCAAGTTGTGACCAGAGCCACATGTGAATTTGTCAGTCCTACCAAGAAGAGTTTGGTTCCATCACCTTTGTATTTGTCCTTCAAGAGGTTGTAGGCTGCCACTAGGTCTCTCCCCAGCTGTCTTTTTAAGAGACTAAACAATCCACCTCCTTAAACCTCCATTGGTAACCTGTGTGCTCTAGGCTTCTAACAACTTGGAAACCCACTAGCTAGGTCCTCTCTCCAGAATCACCGAGTTCACTCAGACAAGTGCTTTCCATACTGTAGCAATGAACGAGTTTATTTCCACACTGTGTACTCTAAGTGCCTTACATATTTGTTCACTTAAACAGTGAACAGCACAGTGTACATTTGTTTACTTAAGCAGTGTACAGCAACAAGATTCAATCACATTAGAGTTATTAGAGAAAATCAGTACAAGTAAGTTCAGAAATTCAGTATTCAGAAGCCACTCTTAAGAGAATAGACTTAATTTCAACATTTTAATTGTCATGGAAATGCTTATGCCAAATCAAAATAAACTCCTTATATAAAAATTGATGACCTGAAAGTAACTGGGGCTTGGAAGAATTCTTAAATGCAATCCATCATCTTCTTTAAAAAAAAAATAAATTTGAGCACACACATTCCCATGACCCCAGGCAGATGCAGCAGAGAAACAATGGAACTTTCACTGATTCTTTATTCTGTTATATCACTCTAGCCTTACTCTGTACGCATGTCTCATAGCTGCATTTTGATACCTGACCTCTCTTCCAAAAGGTCTCATAGTCTTCTCTAAATTATCTCATTTGGGATGCAAGGCACACCCCACCAACCTTCTGCAAGGTTTTTAGGGCTCCTGCTGTCCCAGTGTACCAAAGTCCAACGTTAGTAATTAACCTGATCCCTGCATGCAACTACACAAGGTACGCGCCAAGTCATCAGTGAAACAGAAGGGTCTTTTTATTAAATGATTAAAAATTGAAGCAATAAGCCTGCAGGCAGTTCATAGTTTTTCAGTTCACATGCTTTTTCTTCATCTCGCATCTACTTACCGACATAGCTGCATGGTCATTGTTGTTATTCTGAGAAGGAAACCAGTAAGGCAATCAAAACAAAAAAAAATTAAGATGTACTGTCAACACCCAAAAAAAAAGGAACAAAAAACTGGTAGCAATAAAAGGTAAGGAAAAGCTTCAAAAAGAACAATTACAGCTACATAATTCCTTAAATTAATTTTTTTAAACCTGTGAACTTATATAGTATTTTGTTGAGGCATAACAAAGAGATTATAATTTAAATAATACTAATTTGGCAATAAAATGTTTTTCTGTAATAAGGAACTATAAACCAAAATATCAAAGTAGCAAATTTCAAATGATGAAGCATCTGTTGATATGCCTTTCCAGAAAGTTTTCATTATAAGTAATAACGCATTCCAAAATACTTAGTTTAAAAAATAAAAGCCATGTTTACTGTCTTGGCCTACAGAGCCTATCTGTATGTCATCAACACACTTTGTTCAAGGAAGACTTAGAATGGCTCAGTACAAGAAGAATATAAATGTAACATGATCCATTAATAAATTTTAAAACAAATCTAATGGTAATATAACTGGAGGGTGGAATAAAGCTATTTTCTTTTCCAAAACTGTTTCTTAAGTACAGTACACAAGCACAGAGGAGAAAACCAATATGTAAAACTTAGGAGGAGAAAAAAAAAAAGCTTCAGAGATGCAAGACATTTCCAGTGATTCAATGGAGGTATCACACTCCAACTAAGTTGTCCCATGAAGTGTGCAGGTTCAGTAAAATTGAGATGACGGTTTACCTAATTTACATTACTAATGTTCCAACAAAAATAATACAAATTGCAGAAAATAGGTATTTAACATAAGATGTATTTTTTAAAAGTTACATCTACACTGGTACAGAAATATTTCAGTATAGCCCCACATGGAAGCACAAAAGGAGACACATCCCTGTGCATTCACACAGCTTACACATACAGCTAAAATAAAACTAGACTCTTAACGACAGGCACCCGACAACCGCAACAAAAACATTGTTAAAGAACGTATTACAACACTTCTACAAGAAGACTCGAGTTTGAAACAATATCAAAGACAAAGTGAGTGACCCTTGAAGGAGACTACGGAGAACTAGCGTGACCAACTAATGCCCCTAGCCCTAGCACAATGCCCTCTAACGTGATCAGATACGCTAAGGTAGGAAGAGAAGAGGTTCCTCTACTTGTCCTGCTCTTTTCCTTAATAAAATTACAACCGGTGACTAGGACTTCTGTTCTTTGATTTTTATTTACAGAAAAGGTTATGAGAAACTCTTTTGAGCAGTGGAATGTTTCTGCCAGCCATACAAAAATTAGTATGGAAATGACACTGTGACATTAATGGAACGATCCATCAATGAAAAGGAATACTAAAACTAATCCAAATCTTAACTATAGCACTCCAAAGCACTTATTATTTTAATGAGTTATGGAACCTAGATCTGGGCTTATCTTTAAAAATGCATTTACGATAATTCTTCTCTTAACGAAAATAACTTATTACAAATCTAACCAGAATCACCATAATGAAACTGTATACACGTTTTCATATAACCTCCACAGCTCATGCACAACAACATTCATAGGACTGTATGTATCTACAATTGGCCCAGCTAGAATAGCGACTGGCACACAGGATAAGTTAAAAATTACAAGAATCCTCTTGCCAGACCAGACTAGTTGTCCATACAGTTCTGCATCCTGTTACCTGACCACAGCTTGAAATTACCAAATAACCTCTTCACAGGAACTAGCTTTTCCCAAAGGTTGACTTGCACCCCTAAGCGCATGTTTTTATTCCTTTCACACTTTTCAAGTCCTAATGCCAGAGCTGCTTCTTTCCATCCCTTTTAACATGTTACTTCGTTCTGTCTGCGGCTCATTTCCAAACAGCTGTATCACAACATACATCCTTCTCTAGAAGCTGCACATCTCTTAACTGCTATATGCATATGGCCGTTGAGGAGCAGTGTCATTTTTTCACACTGTTTTGCGTGTTGCGTTACAATGATTTTAACTAGCAAACTCGCTATTCTTTATCAAAAATCACTTAATTGTTGATTTGGCACAGAAGCATATGCCTCACACATCGCATTGACATCAATATTACGCGATACCTTTTGAGTAGGTTACATCTTTGAGATAGTTAAAAAGAAAAAAAAAGAGACTGAAGAATCACAGCCTCTTCACATGTGATTTGGAAGACCAGATAAGCCCACTATGCCAGCAACTTCAACACCTTGCTGTGCACATAAAGAAATTATCTTTTACTTCCAGTCTGGAGCCTCAAAACATTCTATGCATTGAGGACTTTCTCTTCTTTCTTCTTCTCTACGACCTTATTGGCATCACGGAGACGTGGTGGGACGACTCCTATGACTGGAGTGTCAACATGGAGGGGTATAAGCTTTTTAGAAAGGACAGGAAGGGGAGACGAGGAGGGGGTGTCGCTCTCTACGTCAGCAACCGGCTGGAGTGCGTGGAGCTTCGCCTGGGGTTGGAGGAGGAGCTGACAGAGAGCTTATGGGTCAAGATTAGAGGATGGGGACGGATAGGCGATGTTACAGTAGGGGTCTGTTACAGGCCGCCTGGCCAGGAGGACAGAGCTGATGAGGCGCTTTATAGCCAGATAGAAGCAGCCTCGCGGTCACAAGCCCTGGTCCTCATGGGAGACTTCAACCACCCTGACATCTGTTGGAGAGACAATACGGCAGGGCACAGGCAGTCCAGGAGGTTCCTGGAATGAGTGGATGACAACTTCCTCCTGCAGGTGATAGAGGAGCCCACAAGGAGGGGTGCCATGCTCGACCTTGTGC